CTCGGCATTTCAAAACTGCACCGCTGTCATCTGAATATTGAGGATTAGAGGTCACAGCAGAAAAGGGGCTAGCCGCGTTTCGCTTGGCTGGGCTCGCTACGCTCGCGATAAAAAGATTATCTCACCTGGAGCGTGCAATGCGCGGCTCGCTGGTGAGCTCGGCGCTGGGCCTGCTTCCGCGAATACCGCGCGGCCCTGCTTAGCAGGCTCTATGCGCGGGTTTGCTATGGCTATGCGCGCTCGCACCCGCTCAGCTTAGTTGGCGCCGCGGCTATGGGTACCCATGTCGCCGAGCTCCGTGTGTGTTATCCCAGAGATGGAAGTGTGTTTGTACTACAGTAGTACTATTTTCCGAACGAAATGCAGTATCTGTGCCAGAATTGCACGGTCAAACCATATCGTAAATCGTTGAAGAGCACGGTTTTATGAACTCGATTTATCGTAAATCCACCACCTGTTGCTTACACACGTAGATTCAGCACATCTAATTTCGTTTTGCCAAAATCACTGCAAAGCACAATGTGTGCAATACAGATTCCGCCATCTATTCTGACACCGTGTCTAGTTAATAACCTGAGCGTTGCTCATACTATGATTTTTCGGAAGGAATCTCTCGCCTTCGCGCTGTTAAGTCCAGAGTAAGGCGGGTCGGGGAAATGCTTGCGTATCGTAAATTGCCGGGTTGAGTGAGACAGTCGTAAAAGTTTTTTGCCTAAGAGCATCTTCACCAGTGCGGGTATCCTATTTCGGGGATAAACCCAAAGAAAGGCTAATGTTATATTTAGTTTGGCTATAGTTTGTGCGAGATTCTACCAATACTGCTATTTGTTGCCATTTTGGGCAGGTCGAACACTGTCATCAAGCAATGCAATTCGTACAAGCTCTGCTTGAAGAGGACGAGGAAGAAGAAGCTGTATTCGATATACTGTATCTACTACGGCCACCAGGAGCAAATGTAAAACGTAAACACGGTGGATCGGTGCCAGGACGCTCTCCAAACAAGCGTCGCGACTGGTATGGGAGGCACACTCGATTGCTCCAACAATACTTTGGTCCTGACCCCATATTTGAAGAGGCTGTTTTCCGCAGGCGCTATCGAATGTCAAGACGCTTGTTTTCTCATATTGCACATAGTGTAGCAAATCACGACACTTACTTTGTTCAGAAACGAAATGCAGCGGGTCTAGTGGGAATATCCACTTTCCTGAAGATCACGGCCGCGCTAAGAGTTCTTGCATACTCTTCATCTTTTGATGCTATTGATGAAAATTTAGAGATTGCTGGACCTACAGTCAGTCAGTGCATCCATCACTTTTGTGATGCAGTTATTGCTGTTTTCGGTGATGTGTTTTTGCGTCCACCACGTAAGTAGGAACTAAAACGTTTTCTTAAACAGAACGAACGTCGTGGCTTTCCTGGAATGGTCGGTTCGATCGACTGTATGCATTGGGTATGGAAGAATTGCCCAATGTCGCTGGCTGGCCAACACGAACGAAAGGAAAAGAAGCCTACAAAAGTCCTTGAGGCAGTCGCGGACTATGACTTGCGAATTTGGCATTACAATTTCGGTTCTCCTGGTTCGTTGAACGACATTACTATTTTAGAGCAGTC